TAATATTGAAGTTTCTCGCAGAATGTCACTTCGATTTTTGTATAAATTTGAAATAGCATATAATTACTTAATAGAATAGATAAATAAATATACAACCCGTGAAAAAGGAACCAAGTGTGCAACTCAAGTAAGGGCTTTACTTACTAGAAAAGAATTACTATATAACATGTTTAATATTAATTAATCAAACAATTTTTTTAATATTAAACAAGTTATTGATGATAATTCTTTCAAAGTAAAAAAAAGAAAAAAAAATCAAGATTTAGAAAGTTTTTCAGATTTAAATATTAATATTCCTGGCTTTGTAGGAAATATTTCATCAAGAAAGCTTATAACTTTTATTACTGCAGGGTCTAGCTTGTATCAATTACTTGAAGCACTTAATAATAATTGGGTACTTTTAGATATAATTAATGATATTAGTATTATATGGTTAGAGAATATCAGAAAAGATGAATGAGCTGTTTTTATTAAATATATTAAAGGATATTAAAAATTTTGTATTAATTTTTGTATTTGTTTTGCTAAATTACTTTTATTGTAATATATTATTTTGTATAAGTAAAATATTGGTTATATTAAATAATAGGTAATTATATAATTTTAAATAGCAATTATAACAAGTCTAATATAAGCATCATCAAAGAAAATTTTTTATTGGACTTTCAATTATATTTTGTGTATAGTTAGCTGTCTATAAAAAATCTATTATAATGATAAATTTCTATAAATAGCTAACTACACACAAAATATAATTAAAAGTCTGATAACAGGTTTTTATTTACAGATTGTTTTTATATAATTGTAATTGATTCTTTTAATTTTTTCATAACTTGTTTTTGTAGGTTGTTTTTTCTATTAGTTTGGCAAAATATGAGTTTGTTTTTTGCAAAAAAGTATTAAGAAAAAAAAAGGTTAGTTTTTTAATAAATTGGTAGTAAAATTATTTAACTTTAAAAAAATAATATTTTAAATACTTATCTTTAATTTATAAATTCTATAATAATTAGTTATGGATAATAAAATTTTTGCACTTGTGTATTTTGCATGCAAGAAACTGATAGTTGTGGCAAATTATTAAGTATTTTTACTTGAACAAGGCATAGGAAGCGAGAAAAAAATCTTCAAACTTCTTTACCAATTTCAAATAATACATTTAATAATATTTTAAATAATCAAATAAATATTGTTAATATAGAGGATATTGAGAAAAATATTGAACAAAGTAAGATAAAAAATCTTTTGATTATTTTGAATTAATTTTTTTTTTAATTGAATTAATTTTTTAGATTTAGAAAATGAGGAATTGGAGAAGAATGAATTGGATAAGAAGAATGAATCAGAGGAGGATAAATTGGAGGAGAATGATTTAGTGGAAGAAGAATTGGAAGAGGAAAATTTGAAGGAGAATGCTTCAGAGGAGGAAGAATTGGAGGAGAAGAATGAATCAAAGGATGAATTAGAGGATGATGAATTAGAGAAGGAGAATGAATCAGAGGATGAATTAGAGGAGGATAAATTAGAGGAGGATAAATTAGAAGAGGGTGAATCAGAAAGTAGTAAGAAAATTTTGATAATGCTGAATTTAATGGTAATTATTTTTAATATTTTATTTAATTTTTATTTTAAAAAATTTAATATTAATATTTTTATATTTTAGATTTACCATTTGAAATAATTAAAGAGCTTCAGCTTCTTTATATCAAAGATAAATATACAATTTCTGATCAAGCATTTAATAAAATATCAGAAATTTTTAATATTTCTAATATTTCTCTTTATCAGCTTCAAAAAGTTTTAGGAAATTTGGTTTCACAGAACCAAAACTTATAGATATTTGTTAGAATTCTTGCTATGCATTTACTGGACAAAATGCTAATTTTGATACATGTTCTATATGTAAAAAGTCGCGATATACAACTAAAAAAAAATCTAAAAAATCTCAAAAATAATTAGCATATTTTTCAATAACTAATAGTTTAAAATTGCAATATATTTAAAAAAAAAAAACTCTTTCCGTAGATCCTTAGTACAAAAAATTTTCCAAAAACCGTCCAACAAAAAAGTTCATTTTTAC